TCCTAACGTGAGTCATATCAAGGGCGGCCTGTGCTGCACATGGAAGGCCTGCCGGCCGTGATTTAGAAACTCTCAGCCTCCTGTAGCCTTCCTTGTGCAGCCCATTACACCCTGTTCTCTGGTTCTTCACTTAAAGTGATCAAAAATGAGGGATGCCTGGGTGGCTCAGTTGGTTAGGCGGCTGCCTTCGGCTCAGGTCATGATCCCAGTGTCCTGGGATCGAGTCCCACATCGGGCTCCTTGCTCATCAGGGAGCCTGCTTCTCCCTCTTCCTCTGCCTGCCATTCTGTCTGCCTGTGCTTGCTCTCTCTCCCTCTCTCTCTCTGACAAATAAATAAATAAAATCTTTAAAAAAAAAAAAAGTGATCAAAAATGAGCAGTAATACCTTGAGATGTGACTTCTTCTAAGAGCCTTCACTTTCTAAAGCAACCAAAGCCTTAGTTCAACCAGAAGACTGAATCTCTAGTATGTAGAAGATTGGGGTCCTAGTCCTAATTAGCTCTCTGGTTTACCTGCTGTAAGCTCTCAGGCAGGTGGCTTTGCCTTTCTGGAACTGATTCCTTCATCTGTAATCGAGAAGGCTAATTGAGTAAGATCTGAGGCTCCTCCTAGGGCCAACATGTCTTTGCTAATTTGGCCGTTGTGCAGGGGGCCATGGCTCTGTGAAAACCTGTTCTCCCATGTCGACGAACATAGGCAGACCCTATAGGCAGCATGTGGAGGAAACTGTGAAGTCAAGTCCGAGCTCTACCATGTTCCATCTGTGACTTTGGGCAAGGCACACAGTCTCTTTCTCCATCCTTCTCAACTCCATCCGTATTCCCAAACCCAGGTCTTTTTGTGAATAATGGATGAAAATGCTTGACATTGAACTCTACAAAGGGAAGTGATAACCGTAGTTAGAATGGCTGCTGGACACCCACACTGAGTCGCTGAGAGTCTTCTGTCCTCTCGAAAGCGCTAGGTATGGCGGAGTGGGATTGCACACTCCGTCTGTGCCCTCACTCCTAGTTCTCTATCTGCTCCTGCCCTGTCCCTGCTCCTCCCTCCCACGTGTCAGTATTCGAGGATTCTCGAGCAGCAGTGACCATACAGACTAGCCGTGTGAATTACCTGTTACTTGAGGTTCGGTCAGAAGATAAGCCCCCTAAATTGGGCAACTTACCCCATCCCCACCCTGTCTGTCTCACCACACGCACGCACGCAGGCACGGACATGTACACAAGTACTTTTTTTTTTTTACCCCCCTCATGTTATCTTTTTGCTAATGGCTAATAAAAATACTCAGTTCTTACTGAAGTACCTGACTTTCTGGTTGACCCCCTCTTCCTCCCCACCTCCCTAATGAAGCAGAGATGTGACGCGGGATACGAGAGGAAAGTCTGAGAACTGGGGATGCAGAGACTAAGAAGATAGCTTCCCTGTCTATAGTCCTTTGTAAGGGCTGCAAGAAAAGTAAGTGCAGAGTGGTCCAGACGGTTCCCAATGTGGCAGGGAGGATTGGGAAAGGAGCAGAAGAGATGATACTTGAAAGACCAGTACAGAAACGTGGTAGGAGGTATGTCCGTTGTACAGTTGAGGAAGTAAGGACAGAAATTCGAGGACCAACCCCATGGTCGCAACCTCTCGCTGGAGAGGCTAGAATTCAGACTGGAGAGGCTAGAATTCAGACTCGCGTTTGGCTAGCCCAAGCTTTATCACCGAGGTAAACTAGTGTTTGAAAGATAAGCAGGTAATTTGGGAGTCGTTACTTTCTATCCATTGCTTTGAGATTGTGATTGTGCGAGTGCTAAAAGTGAAAGAAGCAAATAATTACTTTCCTGCACATGAAAGAAGCTCTTTTTCGGTGTAAAACAGAAGCTAGTGTTCAGCATAATGAAGAATTAGACTTTTCAAGAAGACCACCTTCTTTTTGCTTGTATGCTAAAAACTGTCACATTTTTAAACATCTTTTCTGCTAATAAGATGTTATGCATGATGCAAGATTAATGCTGATGTGATTACGCTTGGATATTTGGTCAGTACTCTGGGGTTTTTCCCCCCCTGCTGTTGAGAAGCTTCTTTTCCTCTCTCTTCCTTTCTTCAATATAAATACCAGGTGTAAAGGAGAGAAAGTTAGCAGATTGTCATTTAACTCAAAGATATCCACGTCCAAAGATGGTAAATTGATATCACATATAAAAATCTTTTTCTGCAGTGTGTTACTTGTACCAAAGCAAATTATCTTGCCAAGACATTAAAATCCATGATTTGGTTTCAGTCCCTCAACAAATACCAATTTTGTCTTTATTTATCTTGATTCCTGATGGCCTAGAAGAATGCAGATTCATTAAAATGTCATGTACACCTACTTGAACTTTAAGTCACTTCCTTTTCTCAGACATTTTCATTTTAGTTTTACCTTAATGGCATGTTATTTCTGTGATAGAAAAAAGGATGTCGGCAGGCTTTTAACAGGGCAAGTTAAAGAGTTTATGTGGCCTCAACCTCTTTACAAGTAAAAGGAGGTTGAGCTCTTAATTCCCTTCTTTGTGTAAGATTCTGTGATTCAGGATTTTGTTTCAAGTAATGCTCTCTACCTTTAATAAGTTGAAGATAAATAGAGACTTGTTGATGGATCAAGGCTGAAAAAATCATGAAGAAATCTTAATGTGTGCACTTACCACACATTAACTTATTGGGTGTGACAAATCCGGTGGCTTCTTCTATCCTTTTGTTTCCCAGCCAGAAGACATCTGAAGTAATCCGTCTTCAGGTTTAAGTGCATTTCATGAGATTTGACCATAGAATGATAAGTGTACCAGCTTGTCACAGGCTCTCAGTTGGCAGACAATAAATGATTGTTGAAGTTAACTTAGACATATTTTGATTCACTTGCTGAGTTACACAGCATTTCTAAATGCAAGTCCAAAAATTTTTTTTTCGAAACTAAGCCCAGGAAGGGATATGAATGCATAAAGACTTATATGCATATGTTTATGGCAGCTTTATTTTAATAGCTAAAAACTAGAAACAACCAAATGTCTTATCAAGTGGTGAATGATTAAACAAAATGTGGTACATTCATACACTGAAACACTACACAGCAATAAAACTGAACAAACTTTGCAGCAATGTCCACAATTGCCAAACTGTGGAAAGAGCCAAGATAGCCTTCAACAGACGGATGGATAAAGAAGATGTGGTCCATATATACAGTGAAATATTACACAGCCATCAGAAAGGATGACTACCCAACTTTTGCATCAACATGGACAGGACTGGAGGAGATTATGCTGAGTGAAAGAAATCAAGCAGAGAAAGTCAATTATCATATGGTTTCACTTACTTGTGGAGCATAAGGAATAATAGCATGGAGAACATTAGGAGAAGAAAAGGAAAAGTGAAGGGGGGGAATCGGAGGGGGAGATGATTTATGAGAGGGATTGTGGACTCCAAAAAACAGAGGATTTTAGACGGGAGGGGGATGAGGGAATGGGTGAGCCTGATGATGGGTATTAAGGAGGGCATGGATTGCATGGAGCACTGGGTGTTACAAGTAAACAATGAATGTTGGAACACTACATCAAAAACTAATGTATTATGTGGTAACTAATATAACACAATAAAAAACAAAACAAAAACAACAACAAAACAAACACACTACTATGCCATGACAGGTAGGGATCTCAAAAGCATTATGTTAAATGAAAGACATCAGGGGTGCCTGGGTGGCTCAGTGGGTTAAGCCTCTGCCTTCGGCTCAGGTCATGATCCCAGGGTCCTAGGATCGAGCCCTTCATCGGGCTCTCTGCTCAGCAGGGAGCCTGCTTCCCCCCTCTCTCTCTGCCTGCCTCTCTGCCTACTTGTGATCTCTGTTAAATAAATAAATAAAATCTTTAAAAAAAAAAATGAAAGACATCAGACAGAAGAGAGTACCTACTCTATGGTTCCCTTTATAGGAAATTCTAGAAAAGGCAAAACTATAGGGACAGAAAGTAGATCAGTTGTTGCCAGGGTCTGGGGGTAACAGGATGGCACTGACTAGAATAGGTACGAGGGTAATTTTGGGGATAATGGAAATGTGCCACATCATTTCAGTGGTGCTTACATGAATGTGTGCATTTATCAAAACTCAGCAAATTGTACACTTGAAATTGGTGGCTTTTATTCATTGTACATTGTACCTCAAATTTTTTTCAACTTTTTATTTAAATTCCAGTTAACATACAGTCTAATATTAGTTTCAGGTGTAGAATTTAGGGATTCATCACTTATACACAACACCCAGTGTTCATCACAACAAGTGTCCTCCTTAATACCCAGCACCCATTTCGCCCTCCCCCCTCCCCTCCTCCCCCCTTCTAGCGATCTTCAAGTTTGTTCTGTATAGTTAAGAGTCTGTTTTATGGTCTGTCTCTCTCTCTCTTTTTCCCCCCCATGTTCATCTGTTTTGTATCTTAAATTCCTCATGAGTGAAATCATATGGTATTTCTTTCTCCGACTGACTTATTTCACTTAGCATGATACCCTCTAGGTCCATCCATGGTGTTGCAAATAGCAAGATTTCATTCTTTTTGATGGCTGAGTAATATTTTATTGTATACATATGTATGGACCACATCTTCTTTATCCATTCATCAGTTGATGGACATTTGGGCTCTTTCCATAGTTTGGCTGTTGCTGCTATAAAAGGTGTATGTATCCCTTCAAATCAGTATCTTTGTATCCTTTGGGTAAATACTTATAACTCAAATTTTAAAACAAACAAACTTAGGGCAGTATCTTGAATGACTTACAAAGTGACTACTTCACCTGGGGAAATCATCACTTTTAAATTTTGAACTTTAGAAGCTTATTTTTAATTAACAGTAAAAGATACTAACAGTCTTTGTTTTTATGATGAATTGGTATAAAAGTTTGACCCCAAAATGTGTTTGTATAGAAAATGGTAAATGATCAACTTGCTTTAATATCTCACTGCATTTTTGCTTTCTCTTTGCCTCTCTGCCCAACCTAGAAAAACTAATTGAGGGACTCAAATCTCCTGACACTTCTCTCCTGCTCCCTGACCTCTTGCCTATGACAGACCCTTTTGGTAGCACTTCCGATGCTGTAATTGGTAAAGTCGTCGTCTCTGTTTCTTCAGTCCTGCATGATACATGTGTCTGTTTCAAGAACGATCACTAACTGGTTAGCAGATCCCCAGGGGATAGCCCTTCCGAGGAGTGGAAAGTGCCACAAAGCCTCCTTTAGCCTTATTTGCTATCACCCCAAAGGAAGAGTTTTCTCTGCCTTCCCGGGACACCACAGTTAGGTTTGCTTTGCCTGAGATGTCTAGAGGGACTTGTTTTTGAATGAGGAGGAATGGAAAAAATTCACCATTAGTTACAAAAGCTTCATGAAGGAAATTGGTTTCATTCTGGGACCTTACCTTTAGCAGATTCTTCTTTAGAAGGCCCCGTATGTGCCACGTATCTGTAACGGGCAGCACTAGCCCAGCGGTGACAGGAAACACTTGCCCAGTGGTGAAGCCCCACAAGTAGAATCCAGGCAAGGGGCTTGGTCCACTCAGTCTGCTATTGCCCTGTGCTCCTACAGCAGGGCAGGCGAGACGTACAAGATATCAAGGTCCCCTGTACTCTGGGGCCCATAGTCCTCAAACTCAGAAAGGCCATGAGCCGAGAGAGGGGGGGGGCCTCCAGCTGTGGGATGTCAGACAGCGTGAAATACCTCCCCGCTACAGCAGGGAGTGGGATTTGAGATGGACTTGTGGCCTTTGCGAGGCACAGAGGACGTCTGCCCCCAGGTTCATCCCTTAAGAAAAGCAAAATTACCATAAGATATTATGGTGCCTTTCAGCCTGTGTCTTCTGACATGGAAGAAATCTGCTAGGTGGCCCGTGTTCTGCATTTATCTGTAAAAAACAAAGACTCGCCAGGACTCATCAGATCAGTTAACCCTGCGCATGCATGCTCAGTCAGGGAAGCCCAGACAGCAGACATACAGTAACTTCTTGGGCTGCCCATCTTGCCCGAGACTGGCACTTGAGAGCCCCATAGAAGAAAGCCTCCACAGAATTGTCTAAAGAACCTTTTGACTCCTCTTCCCTTACCCTCTGTTCTCCTTTCTTAATGCTCTGTTACAAAAGAAAAGGCCGATGTTGCTGTTGAGAGTCTCATACCAGGACTGGAGCCCCCAGTGCCCCAGCGCCTTCCATCTCAGACGGAATCTGTGGCCTCGAACCGCACAGGTCAGTCCGGTCTCTCTGCAGATGCAGGGACCGTTCACTGTGGTGGCCTTCGCGGTCAGCCTTTCCATCTACAGCAGGTGACCCTCTTCTTTTTCAGCCTGGTCAGTTGCCCCTAGAATGGTCAGATGCCCCTAGAATGGGGGTACAGCCCCAGCTTCTAGAAGTTGAGTGATACCATTCCAAGCTGAAGAGCAGAGTATTTTTGGAGCCATGTTCTCTGTAGAGTGGTCCTTGGACTTTCTCTGGTTACGGTATTTCCTTATTTAAGATTCTTTTCACTGGTGTCAGGTTCCCTGCACCCCCTTCCCTAAAAAATTCTGCTGAGCTGCAGGGATGACTGGACTCCTCCAAGGTTTCTGAGCCACTTTCCAGCGAGTGGTGTCAGTAACTTCGTGGAGCTCACCCTCTGGATGTGGACGTTCTATTCCCAGCCCAGTGTTTTTAGCTTATATGGATGGTTTGCTGTTAAATTGTAGGCAGAGTTGAAATCTTCCCTGGTCCGGCATTGTTTTTACCCTAATTTCAAACTTCTCTCTTAATAGAATCCTTTACTATCCATAAATCCAGAGTTGATAGCCTGCATTTTTATTGAGCCCATAGTTACCTTGGTAAAAGTGTCTGATTTCCTACCTTGGGACAGAAAACAATTGGAAGTCTGGGAACTATGAAAATAAACTCAAGGAGGTGGGGGGGGGGGGATGAATAAAGAAGGTGAGATGGTTCCTTTGCCTCTTGCTTACTTGACTTGTCCAAAACTTCCCTAGAGAACAATTTATATGTTAAAATGCTTGAGCTCCGCATTTTGCCTTCTCTCTGTTCCTTACCCAAAAGAAAAATCATATATTCAGAGAAGCAATTCAAATTGAAAGAATATTATTAAGAAGCAAGATCATTTTGTTTTGAATGGGGATCTGGTTGAGATTTAGAAAATGCTGCTTAACCATGTCATATTCTGCTGATAATAAGCCAGGGACATCCCCCTCCTAGTCAGCTTCAATACCTCACCCTGTCATACCTTTTCCCCTGATTGTTTAGGGAAAGTTTAAATGAAACTCTTTAATGGCAAAGTCCTTTTTTCCCCAAGTGGCATTTGCTGAGAACTGAGTTGCTGAAGGGTTCTTGGCATCCAGATCACATATTTGCTGACCCAGCAACCTCTGAGCAAAGAAGTATTCCATATTTGATGTTGTTGATGTTAAGAGGAATCTAGAAGTACATATTTCTATCAATGAAAATGCTGGGGGCTTAACGTGTTACTTGTGGTTTTCTTTCTCCCGCCTTGGCTTGTACGTATGACATGTAAATGCAGTAACTTCAAGCCTAAACTCTAATCTCATGATATTGTGTGTGCCATTTAATGCCATCACTGACCTGCGATGCTGTCAATCTGGACTCAGATTCTCTCACCGGGGAAGATTCCCTGATTGATGGCTCCCTGCTTTCTAACCCTACTACTGACCTTCTGGAAGAGTTTGCCCCCATAGTGATCTCTGCTCCAGCCCATAAAGGTAAAATGCTTTCCTGTCCTCGGGCTCCCATGTGTCCTTCAAGGAGAACTGAATGAGTCCTGAGAATTTTCCTTACCGAAAGTCTTTGCCAGTGAAGTGGTCTCACCCCCTCCTTCATGTAGGAAACCTGAGTTTGTACTTAGCCTCTCTGTTAAAAATCACTCTCGGGAAGAGTGCCTTGTAAAGCTTAGACAACAGATTGGTGGAGCCATTGCTTTCCGGCTATCATGGGGACAGCATATAGTCCCTGTTCTCCATGAAAGGCAGAGCTCTGTGCCTTTGCAGTCAGCGCAAGTAGATGGTTCAGTTGACTGTCCACTGACTGACTGTTGTCATTAATATACTTGTTAGCCTTAGACCTTAAAATTGTTCATCAAATCTGATTTCAAGTTTTTGGGTAGTGATTGCTCAATAAAGCAGCAGGCATAAGTCCTCAAAAGTCAGTCTTCAAAGACTGAACTTCGCAAAGGTTTAAATTTTGAGTCATGACTGATTACTGGATTTCTCTTTCTCATCTGCCATTTTCATTTCTTAGTCCTGGGTTGATACCAGTTTGAAAGGCTGCTGGACAGAAATAGCTTGAAATGAGTTCCCTTCAGTGAGCTGTTTATAAAAGTGACAGGCACAGGATGCAGGCGTTCACTAAACTTCTTTCTCTACTGTGGGTAGTGAAGTCGGTTTTCTGGAAGGAGCAAATGTATGGAAAAGGAGCAGTGTAAGTTTATTCTGAAAGAAACTCGAGAAGGAAGCCTCCCCAAGAAGTCTGAAAATAATTAGTTTTATGGTTTCGGTGGTAATAGCTGAGTTTTTGTTTTTATCCTCGATGGCATTAAAATTATTATGTTTTTATAGAGTGTGTGTTTAACCAGTTATGTCTGGCAGGAGTGTCAGCGGCGGTATGTAATTACAGAGAAACATCACTTGCAAAATAGGTGCTCAGCTAGCACTTGCCCATAGGGTAATCTTAGAATGGAGGAGAATATTCTAACAAACTTAAGCTTGAAATCCCAGGGCATGTGATCTTGGGCCCCAGCGTTCCCTGAGGCATCAGAGTTGATGGAAAGTCACAGGGCAGCAAGTCCTTTCAGAAGTATTTTATTTGCCTTGTATACAGCAGTTGCTTCTTTTTTAAAATTTTAATTTAAAGTTGAATTAATTAACACATAGTGTAGGTAGCAGTTGCTTTTTTTTTTTTTTTTTAAGATTTTATTTATTTATTTGTCAGAGAGAGAGAGGGAGAGAGAGCGAGCACAGGCAGACAGAATGGCAGGCAGAGGCAGAGGGAGAAGCGGGCTCCCTGACGAGCAAGGAGCCCGATGTGGGACTCGATCCCAGGACGCCGGGATCATGACCTGAGCCGAAGGCAGCTGCTTAACCAACTGAGCCACCCAGGCGTCCCTAGGTAGCAGTTGCTTCTTCAAGAGCTACTAATTACCTCCCCCCTGCCCCTGGCTGCGAGTTTCTTGAGTATTGTTTGTTAGTCAGGCCTCTGTTTGCTTAATAAGGAAGATAAATGACTAATTCCTGGGCCTTTGTGAATTACTGGCACTGAAGAGATCCCTCACAGTAACTACAATGAGTGGTTTTAAAACGGTAGCGGAGAATTCATCCTCTAACACTTCTCCCTGACCATTTACGAAAGTCTTAACATGGCCAGCTTGAAACCATTTTTTTTCTGTTTCCCTATTTTCCAGTTTTGCTACTTTTATTTCAAGTCATGAAAATAAGCATTTTCACCTTCAAAAACAACAGCGATTGTATAGTTGGGAACTTTGTGCCCTTACATGTTCTCTCATTTGCTAATCTCTACCTCTATTGTTTCTGCTTGTGTACTTGCATTCTGTATTAAGCTGCAGAAGATAGTAATCTCATCTCAGGTTTTGATGTCCCTGAGGGCTCGGACAAGGTGGCAGAAGATGAGTTTGACCCTATTCCTGTATTGATAACCAAAAACCCACAAGGTAAGAAAGAGAGGATGTGGAAAAGAGAAGAGCTGGACATCACAGCTCACTACAAAATAGTAATGTACCTAATCTCCAAGAGGGGAAAAAAGCACCCGCACTTAACAAAGGAAACAGGGGATAATGGCAGACCGTGGGGCTGAAGCAGGATAAGAAAGAGATACAGGTACAGACGGAGATACAGTTATCTTAAAGCTTGGCCGTGGTGTTTACTTAGAAGGAATGTATTTAATACTTTGACCAAAATCTGGCTTTTACAAAGTTATCAAGAGAAAAATAAAGTGGAAACTTAGTGAAAACCGGAAGGCGTATATTTTTTAAAAAGCACGGAACATTTCTTGAGCATGATTAGAATAATCTGTAATAAATATTCTTCCCAAAGAGATGAAGGATGGTGCTTGGATACCATTTGCATCTTTTGGACATTCGTGAAGCATCCTTTATCCTCCCTGATGGGTTAAAATTATTTCAATGTGCCATGAGACCCTGAATTGCCATGGGACCATCTATATATTTCTTAAAGCCCATTTCTATTGCAGTGGTCTTAGTAACTAATTTCTCCCCAAAGCAAAAACTGTTGATTTTTACTTTGTCAGGGAGATGATTCGATGTTATCAGGAAGTTAGGGTCCAGCCAGCAGTTCTCAGGCAGAATGTCTATTCATTTGAAAATAGCATCCTCTTTGCAAGGCGTTCTGCCTCTAGTGTGGTGTGCCTGGAGTTTTGGTGGGAGGTGGTGGATACCTAGCTTGTATGTTTAAAAATCAACATGTAAGAGTTTGCAAATGTAAACTTTGCTTCTCTAGGGTTTGGTTTGGTTTCTCCTTTGCTTGCTCTGCACATCTAAACCTTAACCCTCTGTGTTTTGTACTGAATTCCTATCTCTCCACTTCCAGGTGGGCACTCTAGAAACAGCAGTGGGAGCTCTGAGTCCAGTCTTCCCAACCTAGCCAGGTCTTTACTGTTGGTGGATCAGCTCATAGACCTGTAGCCGGGACCCAGTAGCAGAGGCAATTCTGTAACCTTCACACCGTAATACACGTTTTCGTTACGGAGTTATAAGAAAAAAGGATTTTTTAAAAAATCTACGAATAAAGGGCCCTCTGGCCCTTATCTCCTACCCCTTGCCTTCTCCTGTAGAAACGATAAGGAAAGAAAATCACTTTGGCCCTCCAGATACTCCTTGGCCAGTTCCTCCCTGTTAGTTTGCTGTGTTTTCTCATTACCCTTCTTCAATAGCATTATCTTAAATCAAGCGCTAGATGCCATGAGCTTCTCTGCTGGAATCAACTCCACCCAAAGCTTAACTGTAACTGAAACTAGTGAATTGACACCCTTGTCTCATTCTTGCTAGGAATGGCCTCCCAGACCAATCCTCTCAGCCCCTGTCTCCTTTGGCCAGATGCTGATGAATGTGTTTCTCTGTTTTTGCTTTTTACGCTGCTGCATTATATCATGAGGACGTGGCTTCTTCAGTTGGTCTTGACTCTGGGCAGTAGCCTGGAGATGGGTGTGTGACTTAAGAGAGGGTAAAACTGACTGACAGATGGGATGTGTTTGAAAAGAGCAATTGAGCCCAGCTCTAGCCCACCAGCTCTGACCTTGTTTGATCGTAGACCTAGCCAAGGGATTTTACACCCCATGCAACCTGCCCAGCATTCATCCAGCATTCTGGCTTCCATTGAACCGTGATTTCTCAGATCTGGAGACGTGACTGCAAGTACTTGAGATCCTTGGATAAAATGTGTACGTTATATAAAACCCAAGTATTGCCATTCCTTTTCATGTTAACTGTCCCGAGCCGGGATCTCAGAATTAGACCAAAATGAGACAATGGTGGTAATATGATACCTTTTATTAGAAGACTTTTCACTGGGGGGTGGATGGGGGAGGGGAAGGAATTGTAGCAGAAACAGATGTATTTTTCTTGTGATTTTTATTTTGAATCAAATATTGTAAATTGTGTATAAATGAAGACGCTGAATAGTTCTGTTTCCACTTGGCGTTTCAAGTCTGATATCAGGTGTCTGTACAGGGTTTTGATCTCTTTCCCTTGTATAACTACACAGCAATCCTACAGTGTAACATATGGAATCATTTTGAGTAGACTGTGTGTTGCTATAAGCTTTCAGCAGGTCCTCTGTCTTTGTAGAATAAGCATGTTGTTTATTTTCAGATAATCAGAAATAAGTGTGCTGACAAGCTAGGCACAATTTGATTCTGGCTACTTACCTTTCTTTCTCTCTGATGTTTGAATCGAAGGATGCAGCCAGCAGAATATGTCCAGTTGGTTTTCCTTGGCTTCCTAGATTAAAAAGCAAAACAAAGCGTAGTTCCTCACTAACCTTAGAATATTGTTCATAAAATAAATAAAGGACCCTGCACTGACATGACAACATGCCTCATGGTCAACCTCTGTATATGTCCTTACTCGTTGGAGTGTATTTTGTTTTTCCTCCCATAGAAAGCAATTTTATAAAATTGCCCTTTTGAAATGAGGTGGGCACAGAGAAGCCCGTTGTGGTTCTCTTCCTTGAGTGCCACTTGCCATGATCAGAAGGGGAAACTCTTAATTGATCAGATTTGTACAAATAAAATTCCACGCTCATTTGTTTGTTTCTCTATCTAGTACTTTTGTTTCTTTTTCCACACGTTTGCACTTTAAGGGGGGTGGGGAAGAAAGTTGAGCAGGCAACAACGGCCTACAAAACGTGGCACTTTGGAGGTCAAGCTTTGACCCCAGAAATGTGAGAACAGCCTTTGAAAGGCATGGGAGGAAAAGTCTGAATCTTTCAGTCTTCCTTCTGACTTTAAATACTTCCTGTGCCAGCTGGAACTAGATGAGCTAAGTAAAGGCCTCTGTTAGGATAATGGATCATTTCCAAAGTTGAGGGAGGCACAACCTTCCTGCTGAAGATAAAAAAAGATGTCCTTGAAGAACTCTCCACGATGGGACAGCAGTGAAAATGGGACTCGGTTTGCCCCGTTATGGACAGGAATATTACTGAAGATCGAAACTGTATTCTTTTTCCTGGACATAGAAAGAATGTACAAACTAATGAAGGAAATGTTTATTTTTAAATAAGAACAATGTTTTATGCCTATATTTTCCAATTTGATTTTTGTTCACACATATACATGTTAGAAATATAATGAACATCTAGTTTCTTGATTTAATTGAAGAAGTGAAGAGTACAGTTTAGAAATTTGGTATCTCTAAATTGTTCCTTTCTTGTATTACCCATAATCACATTGAGATATATTCCCTAGTTGTCTGGCTCATGAAAGCTTAATGGAGACTGTTAATGAAAATGAACAGACTAGACTGGATGGAGGAAGTCTGAGGGAAATAATGACATGAAATCATCTTGGGTTTATTCTTTAGGAATAGGACCTCAAAGGGGAGAACTATTTTTCTGTTAAGTTAGGAATCCATGTGAGTGACTCGGTAAATGGGACCTCCGTTAGTTTATAGCTTCATCCCTGAGCTAAAAGGGTTTATTGATAGGACACTAGAGACACTACAGCCTCTGATAATTGGGAGACACACGAAACTCTAGACTGAGCCACAAGCGAGTTAAGAGAGACCAGCCTATAGTCCATCCACTTCATCTCACAGGTGTGGGACGTAAGGTCGAGCCGTGGGAGAAGAGGCCTGGGCAGGACAGACCCCCTGGGATCGCTCCCTGACCTTTGCCAGTCACCTGCCAAGTAGCTGTCAGCAGGTGCTCCTGCTGACAGGAGCGGTCGTACCTTAGGTGTACGGTGATGAGTTTGGACTGGATGGTCTTTAAGCTTGTGGAGTTCTAGCATTCTACCTACATATTATGATGCTTGGGAAGGACTATAAAGGATCTGTATAATCCTGATGTTCTTTAGTTCCCTTCTGTAGTTCTTAGTGTTACTGGAGCAGTATTTACATTTTAGAGAATTATAATAGCCCTTTACTACTTGAGCGGCTCTTCCTTGGCTAACCGAATAGAAGCCTACATTATTGGACAGTTTGGGACATAGATTTTTTCTTTTTTAAGTATCTAAGTATCATTTTGTTTTGTTTTTTAATGGCCCTACCTATTCCAACAAAACAGTATCAGAAGACTGCAATTCTTTTAAAATATATAATCAGTGATCTGGCACTTAAAAAATGGGCAGATACTATAAGCATATGTTTCTGATTTGCTTTAATCCAACTGTGCAAGAGTGGTAACTATACCAGAACACATCACAAGTTTTTTTACCCCCTTACAGCATTCAAATAACTAGATCACCAAATTTAAGTCCCAGTATTTGTAAAAACACAGGACTCGGAGGAGATAAGGTTTAAATGGACATTCTTAGCTACAGTCATAATTAATGATTTCTTCAGCAGACCTGTCAGAATTTTGGCCGCTCAGTGAGTGTTGTTCCCCTCAAAGGCATCTGGTTTTACTTGGGAAGTTATTACTACTCTAACGGTGCTGCCTTCATTTAAGTTAATTCTGAAACCACCCCCGTCCTTAGAAACACTGTCACGGACAGTAATAAGGTATAAGAAAATCCATTGAATTACTATCTAATTAGTATTGCTTTTAGTAGCCGGAGGTATGTTCTCTGTCTTATTAATCTTTTACCATAACTCTTGGTTCTGAGTCACATTTAGCTGTTTCCAAAAAGCAAAATCACCCCCCGCCATGAAACATGGTTACTATTGAAGACAGTAAAAAGAATAATCCACAGAAAATTCCCAGAGAGGACCTTATAATGGAAAGTGACAACAGTCAGTCTTGATTTCCTTAATATTCCGAATAAGGGAACTGCCATAATTTCACCTGTCTTTAGTGGTTTAGAAAATGGAAAAATGCAGATTTTAAAATAACCTCTGAAAGAGGTTGTCACTTTGTTCAGTGTCATTTGATAGTGAACTTGGCACTTCCTGAATTAGAATTATAGAACTTGGATTGCTAATAATTATAGGGGAACATACTCAAGAGAAGAATCTGTTTTTCTCAAGATGAAATTTTAGTTTTGCTTATAATACTTTTCTTTCCTGCTGTCCTGGCAGGTAATTGATCATTTTGATGTGAACTAACACAGTTTTCTCCAGGTCAGGATCAGTCTGCCTTCAGCAATTTTAGAGGAAGGAGGAGACCTTTGGGATTGACCTCAGCCCAGAACTGTGGAGGGATCTGAGTTCAGCTGCATAAATTCATACTGTAGATACCTTGGGCCAAAGTCAAGTCTCCCATGATGATGTTTGTCTAAATTTCCAGAAGTCTTTAGCTTTCTCTGGCTGTAACATTACCAGGATCATGTAGCCACTAACTTAGAGTTTGAGGACAAAAAAATGACAAGATTGCCCAAAGTACAAAATTAAGCAAATTAGAGGCTGCCAGCCAGAACAGAGAAACTATCAGAGGGATATTTAAAATGAAATCTCTACTGAAACACTCCAGATTATACAAAGCTATCTTTTATTCCTCTCTAGAGACTATAATTTTACCAACACAACGTTAGTCTTTTCATTTTCCACCCTAGTCATATTCCTGAAGTTGGATGTACTTGGGTTTCTTGAGTCAAAATGAATCCCAGATGGCCTCCCTTTCAGATAATCTGTAACAAGATACTTTTTTGTTTATCCTGGGTTTCCTTTCACTAAAGTGGAGGAGGGAAGTTCTTTGGGTAATGCTGATTTGGCAGAGTTACCAAACGGTGGCGGTTGCTTGAACGGAAGACACTTTCCGGGTCCCCACTTGGATGTAGTGTCCTGACTTTCCTCTCTTTCTTGTGAGTATTCCCTCCCCCTACTGCACATCGCCTCGTCACGTGGATGCGTACTTACCACAGGTCTTTACCATGTCCTCCCCAAGAAGACAGAGCAAACAGAGGTACGCGAAGCTCCCTTCTACAGTAAAAATATGAGATTTAAACATTGCTACGCAAGTATTGTGTTTAAAAAAAAGGTCTGTAAACAATTTATTATGTAAACATACAGGGGAATAAAGACTTATCTGTTCAAACGGGAGCCTGATGTTCACAGATGTAAATAACTTACAGTAACTGCCGCTTTCCTGATCTGAAAATGCACTTGTGCGAAAAGGACTTGAACTCATTGTTGAGTGACTTACTGAGTGTGGCCACTGAGGTTTCCCCTTGCTGTCAGAGAGAAGAAAACCCCCGTTAGCCTGTATTTGGTGTGACTAGACTCGGGGTTGCAAATGGAGCACAGATTTGCAGCTGCCCTCCTCTAATTTGATCCTTAATATACCCAGGCCAGTTTAATTAAATGTTTGATGCTGGCAACAGCAGTTTGATGCCCAGGGAGAAATCTCTCTAATTGCTCCATTGCCTTAAGAGGCGCAGCGTCACTGGCCTGCATTGGGTCCCACCAAATCCCTGTTCCCCAGTCCTGGGCTTTAATAACCACTGCACAGCATAGGGTAGAACCAAACCTTTAATTTTGTCATCTAAGCTGAAAAGTCATGGCAATTATTAATTTGGTGACCATCTCTTAATTCCCTGATTCGGCTCCGAGAGTGTGAATTTCAATTGGTGTTGCATTTCTGACCTCCTTGAGAAGGGACAGTTTGCTTTCTATTTGCCAAATATATGTGAAGGTTTCTCAGTACTCCCAAGTCTTCGTTTTCAGTTTGGGGCAAGAAGTAGGTCTTCGATACTGCTTGTAACTGTTACTTCAGTTTACGGTATGGGGGAAAGTAAAATTCTGGCTGTGCAAGATATATTGCACTAAAGAATATCCAGCCTGGAATTTACGTCTTCAGATTCTGATTTTTCAGAAAGCACTCTGATGACCCCTTCACTGTGTCCATCAGATAAAATCCCCAGAGTAGACGTACCCCGAATCACTCAGCACTTAGGGTTGCTTTGAAAGTTAACAGGCCGTTAGTGAACAGGTCATCAAAGAGTTTTGGGGACCCCTTTCCTGCTCTGTCAAGCACATGAACTCTGACTGAATCTGCATGAATTTGGAACCTTGAAATAGACTCGTAGAACTCCTAAAAAGTGTGCTAACCCTTAACCTTGCACACAGTCCTCCATGACAGAAAGAAAAAGAAGGGTGTCCTGCCTTCTTGTTTAGTTTAGTGGGCTAAACCGGAATGAAAAGGGACCTAACCCAGTTTGAGGGGATTAGAACCAAATGCCCTACTTGAGGCTTCATGATAAGAAAGACCCTTGTGCAGCCTGTGAGACCAGGGCCTGGATTGAAGGCCTCTACTCCTCAGGAACAACTGGCTGGCTTCACTGAGCTATGTGGTCCCGGGGCGTCTGCTGTGCGTGCTTTTGGTTGCCAGAGGAATGGGGCCAAGACATGGGGTTAAAGTAGTGCAAATCCTTCTTTGCTAGTAGTCAGACTGTTGCAAACACATTTACCTGATAGGGCAAGGCCATTTTCATATACAAGGATTGTTCACCTTGAAAACACATGCTTTCCTTATAAGAACATACATACTCGTATTCCAAAAAAGACCTCTTTTGCCAACAATATTTAATGTCATCTTCTGCTTGTAAGTTATTTAGGATCTCTCCTTGACTCCTTTGTGTCTTGTGCTGAGGGTGTATGGATGTCTGTGTTTCTCCCAAACCCACTGGCATTCTTGGGTCTCCAGAACGCCCGGCTTGGGAGAGCAGCAAAGAGTGGTTGCTGTCTGCTGTAGTCACAGTACACCTTCTCAAAAAAGAGTAAAGAGGTTAAGAGACTTGGCCTTCTCAGGAAAATCCTTTAAATGTAGTTTTCTAACCCTTAGGAGGCAGATTCATGCTGAAAAATAGAAACAGGTCTGGCCTTGTTTTGAAGAACAGGAAATAAGTTTCCCCTTCAAACTCAATGTCACAGGGTTTTAGTGACTGGGCTTGTGAGTTTTTAAAAGTTCTCGAAATTTTAGGTATAGTTTTCCTGTTACCATCAGGGTCCTAGAATATGCTAATTTGGCAGGTTTCCAGTTGTCCAAGAACCCACTTTTTAAGTAATTTAGATAGGGTAAGCACATTCTTCTGTCCAGCTCCGGATATGGTCCCCTCCACTTGGTACCTGATAGTTCTCAAAATGTAACCCAACATTGCAGGCATCCAGAGTGCACCCGATTCTGTAGGCAGCTGCTTTTTGGTGTTCTCTGCACACAAACAGATCTGGCTGAATTCAATTTAATTTCCCAAAAGCACTAACTCCAGTCAAACTAGTGTCCGGTTTTATTATTGATCGGTATGGTGCCAGAATTGGTCATTGGCTTGACTAAATTTACCATGTTTCCCCTAAAAGATATTTTGCTCTCCCACAGAACCAGCTTGATAACGTCAGCTCTGGGGGTAGTTTGGGCAGATGAGAAATTGTGTCTTAGTTTTGGCAACTGAAAACTTTGTCTAGCTGAGTCTGTGTTAGAACGTGGTTCAAGGAGTCTTGGGGGAGGGGAGCTTCCATGCAACTTTGCTTGGCAAATCTTATTTTAGAAAACCTCTTTGCCCCTTTTCATTTGAATTTCCTCCCAGAAATCACCATCTAAGAATCACAGTGGCAGAACTAATATCATTATACTTGCCTGAGAGCTTAGGATTATGTCTCTCCACATATACTGCAAGAGAGAAGATGTTCCATTTGCTTCCTAACAGCTGACTAACGCTTTCCTATCGCCACATGGGTGCACATACCAAAGCCGCAACGCCAAGAAAAAAAATGTATCCTCTTCAAAATCATATTCTTCAAACACTACTCAGAAAGCTGTTTGGCACCAGTACAGAATTTCACTTAAAGACTCCTAACTGGAAATTCACTGAATGAATGCATTCAAACTCAGAAAATGAGGGGGACACCCACCTTTTTTTGTTTGTTTCTGGAAACAGTATTTAAGATCAGAGCTGTTTAAAAAGAAGCATTGCTAAAAAGTTCCAGAATTCCGAGAAGCATAGTATTTTTGTACAGGATCTTCTAAAATGTTCCGACCTCTCTCTAACATTTCTTTACAATGTAATGTCTCTAAGTGACTGGTTTCCCAATAAACTGATTTTGATGCCGCTTCTGCTGTGTTCTGTGTGCTTAATTCAAGCAGAAACTTTGGTAGGGGATAATCGTTAGCAGAAGTTTCTACTAGCTAATGATTTGCCTGGAAGGGGAGAGGGTAACATGGGGAGGGGTTGATGGAATTACCTCAGTACAGAGGTTCCAGGGCATCTACAGAATCCAAACCACTGTACCAAATGCCTGGTGGGTTGGGAAACCCATGATGAAATGCTCTCTTTACCCCCAGCCACCCTTTCTCTGGATTCTTCTTGCTTAGTTACATATGCCTTTTTCCTGCCCTCTTGCTAACATGTGCCCAATGACATACTTCTAACCTGCTAATATTTCTTGGAAGGTAAGCTCTCTTGCATTCTGATAATTGTCTATTTGATTTTAAAAGCCAGAGCACCCTGAGGCACGTCCATCTAGCTAGAAGTAGACTAGTGTATTAGCGTTTGCAAATATTTCTGCAATTAACCCATGTATTCTACTCCTCCTGCTTAAAGAACTTTGTAATAGATTCATTTAAGCAGAGGAGATCTTCCCTAACTGAGAAGACTGAAAACAAAATTCCGCACCAACTCCAGCTGAAGGTGACTTATTTAATACGACTTTTTATTATGTCTCCTCCCCTTAGAAGGCACCTTCAGTGTTGGCATTTGGGGCACTCCTGTGCTCTTTGACTAGTGCTCCTGATGTAAATCTTGCATTTATTAAGCAGCCGTGCTCTGCTGCTCTTGGGGGTAGGGATGGGGGTGTGGTTTGGGATTGAGAATCTGTCCTCAGAAACAGGCAGTGTGGAGCAGACGACCACTTGTCAGATACTCAGTTGCATTTGTCCCCAGACAGCATTTCTGCATAATCCAGAACTTCCATGGTATATGTGGAGCTGAGCGACCGGGTTTGTTTTCATTCCGTCCTGAGCCAGCGCCAGGTAGAGCAGGTGGCTGTGCCTGGCCCCGCGAGTAGGAGCCTCGTGTAGTTATGCTGAATGTCTGTGTGCCTAACATCTTCATCTCCTTTCCTGTACATTGTGCCTATCATGTTCCAAAATGTGAGACAGTGACTGCTTGTGTTCCAGTTTGTGTGCCGTTTCCTTGCCTGACTTTTATTTTTCTGTTTTTCCTTTTCCATTTCAACCTTTGTTTATTTGGTCCCACGATGTTTCTGCCATGGGTTGACCATTTTAAATGTTCCGAGGAGAGCTGATCTGATCTGTGCATTAATTCTGTGTTCTGTGCTTTTCTAGGTCTCCAGAGAGAGCCCAATCCCTGTTCTGTAATAACTGTAGAGCACTTTAAAGACTCAGCAGGCGTTAAAGGCCTTCCCCTGTATCCAGACCCCTCCAGAGTACCTGGCACGAAAACGCAGAACAATTTAGAATCGGACTACTTGGCCCGAGATGGCCCTTCAAGCAACAGTTCATTCCACAGCAGTGAAGAGGAAGGGACTGATCTCGAGGGGGACATGCTGGACTGCAGTGGGTCTCGACCTCTCCTCATGGAGTCCGAAGAAGAGGACGAGAGCTGCAAGCCTCCCCAGGGGAAGCTGGGGGGAGCTCTTCCATTCGCTCAGCATGAAGTCTCTACTGAGCAAGCAAAGGCAGGCCAGGGCGGCCGAAAGAACCAGTTCCAAGCCCTCCCACAACCAGCCACAGACGGTCTCGGGGAGCCAGATGTTTTTGCCACAGCCCCTTTCAGGAGCTCAAGGGTTCCAGCTGATGACTTGGATATTTTCTCCAAAGCCCCGTTTGTCTCCAAGGGCAGCGTGGCTCCTTCCCAGCCAGAGGAAGCAGACGTGTTCTTGAGAGCTCCCTTTACCAAGAAGAAGAATGTGGAGGAGTTAACGGTTGCCCAGAGCGCCCCCCAGGAGTTGCCTGTGCAGGCCAGTCTCCTCAGTCAGACTGATGATGTCCCTCTGCTCCCAGGCCTTGAGAGAGCAGTGTATGCCCCTGTCCGAGCCCAGTACCCAGTGGCTGCTTTTGTCCAGCAGTCTAACCTCCCCTCCCATTCTGTGCAAGCAGCAGACCATCTTGACAGCATCTCTCCCAGGGGATCCTGCCTGGAATCTGGGGGCCATCCTAATGACAGAAACAAAGGACCTCAGCCCCAGAAAGAAGCTATCTCAGGCCCTGTGGCTGGCAAACCATTCCGCCCCCAGTCTTTATCCAAATATTCCCGTCACTATAGCCCAGAAGATGAGCCAAGTCCGGAAGCCCAGCCCATTGCTGCCTACAAAATTGTTTCCCAGACCAACAGACAGTCCATAGCTGGCTCTGTTTCCATCACATCCCTTTCCTCCAGGACTACGGAGCTGTCAGCGGTGGATCCGTTTGCTTTAGCACCCTTTCCTTCCAAATCAGGCAAGCAGAAACCTTAGGAGCGCTACCTGAGCCTTCAAGCCTCTGTTTTTACCACACCCTCAGTACTCATCACATCACTCCCAGCTGAGCCTGTCTCAGAAGAAGTGCACCAGTTATTATCTCTCAGTTCCCCGTGTCCGAGCAGGATTCCTGTGGGCAGCGAACTCCGTGGCAGTGATACTCAGTTGAAACCCCTTTAAGTTATGCTCACTTCTTTTGTTTGTATTGATTTCTGGACTTCCAGGCATTTCCGTGGCCACATCTCTGCTGTCTTTTTTGGCCCCAAGACTGTTTGAATCCAGAAATAACTTCACCCCAACCCCAGAGGGGCTATGTTATTGCGGATTTTTTTTTTCCCTGCACTTCCTGCTCTGAGTCTTGTCTGTTGAGGACTCAAGATTAGTCCCTTCAGGACTCGACTTAATGCTCTTGCAAAGGGGATATTTATGGAAAGAAATCCAAGATGAAAATCCTGCAAATGAAGAGGAAGTGTAATCCTGCAGATACTAATCATTCCTGTAAAACCAGCAGCTCTACAAAGGATTCTCTGGATCCGTTTCTGAGTCTTTGCGAGCCAGGCTAGCCTCTCACACATGAGTGTTTGTGGGTGTGTGACCTGCATCAGATCCTTTCCTATGGAGAAACTCGAACAGATGAGCTGTCTGTGCTCATGTTGAACAGTATTGAGCCTTCCCACACCCATGCTTTTTAAATCACTCTGAGTGCACAGGTATGCGTGTGTGTGCGTGTGTGTTTTGGCGCGCGCACAGGGAGCATTTTTCCTGTAGGTAAATCCTGTCTCACTATGCCTACCTCCACAACCACTCATTTACTGGCATTTGTCTCCTGACCTAACTGATTTGAGCCCTGTTTTTATTTAGTTCTGTCTTGTGGCAAAATCAAATCCATTGGAAGGTGTAGGAGAATCCTGCTGAAACTGAAGTTTCACAGAGTAGATGTTTTCCTCCAAAATTTGCTATTTGCTCTTAACAAATTCCATTTACATGGTTTTAAAGAATTATGATTTTTTTTTTCCTCTCAGAACAATAGAAAAGAGCATCTAGTCCCAATTTGAACCATTGGGTATGTGGTCTTAGTAATATTTTAAAGTACTTAAAAACCTTAGGTCTGAGCACTCCAGGCTGTCCTCCTAGAATTAATCATGAGACTAAGCTACAAATTAGAGTTGCATACTTGTTTGTGTTTTCCGATTCCTTGCTACCTTTCTCCACTGCCTCTTGAGGAAAAATAAATCTGAGACATGTAAATCAGTTTGAGAGAAAAGAGCTTAATCAACTATCCATGCAAATCTTTCAATTTCCTGTTCTCTGTAGATGTTAAAGTAGGCCAGATAGGTGACTGACTTGTGTTTTTGAAATGTTGTCTATTTCTGGAAAGATCTGACTCATTCCCGGCTCTTTCCATACCCGTTATTATTAGTGCCTTAAGGTGAAACTTTTGTCTCAATGGGAAGATCTGTGCTGAGGAAGTTCAACTTAATGGAAAGAGCTGCTCCACCGTGTTCCAACCTGAAAGCTTCCATTGACTTGTAATCGATGTCAGTGATGTCTCCATTAGCTGGAGAAGTTGTGAGAGTTGCTTACCAAAACAGATGAATGATTTAAGAGTTGGAAATTCATCCAAGAATTAAGCCAGAATGCCAAACTCTACTGTAGTTGAATAGGTGTCGTATACTTTAAATTTGAAATTCAGGAATCTTGGGGGTAGAATATGAACAGCAACTTCTCAAGACATTTTCTAGTTTGGTCTCCACCTATTTCAAACATCCAGGTGAAAAGAAAAGTACTTGGCACTGGATCAGGGCTACTGGCGATGGCTTTACACCTGAGGTTTCAACCACTCCAGTCTTTCACTTTGATGAATGCTAAATGTCCCTTCTAAGACTCTGCTTTTCTCCCCTTGATGATTTCTGATTTCTTTTGTGTAATGGTGGATGCAAAATCCTCTCTCCAGTTGAATAAATAGTTTGGGCTAACGCATATGGAACTTTGCATCCCAGCCTCTTCCCTTGGCCATTATCAAGTAAAGCCCTCCAAGGCAGGAGCTAAGAGGATAAGAATATTCAGGGAGAGTTCTCACCCCGAGTAAGGAACTCTTCAAGTGGAAGGTCATTCTCATTCCCTCTATCAAATATTCAGGATCACCTCTGTGACAGCCCTGCAAAATGTCTTTCCTTTGGTTATTTAATCACTTCTAACTAATCAAGCAGCCATTTTAGCTCTTGAGGTAAAATCAATAAAATCATGGTGATTTTATCACATCATTGAATCATTTGTCAAGCATGGGCTTGTAACCCTTTTTTATTCTCACTGGAGAGGTATGATGGGTAGGGACTCTAAATACGTTCTTTGAATAGAAGTGAACGTAAATACATGCAAATTGCTTGTGTTCTTACTGAGTGATGCATGAAAACTTTTGACTATATTACATTAATTGTCAGCCAATAACTAGTAAATTCTGCACTGATCTTTGGATCATATAGGGTAAATACATAATTTAAAGATAAAATATTCCTGCCAGAGGCCATTCTGAATCTGGAATTCTAGAAAATTTAGTGTTAAGGGAATTAGGAGCGCTCAGGGTGTTTTGAATTAGTAGCAAATGCATGTTTCCAACAACTAATACTGCAACAGGTTAACAACAGAGAAAAAGAAGATATATAGTCAGCAAAATGCTACTACACCTTTTACTTTTATATGTTATTTGCTTTACACATCTGATAGGAAATGCAAGAACTTTTGACTTTTCATTTCAGTGGAGGGCAATGAGCCAGAATCTATTTTAGATACAAAGCGTTGAACCCACAACATGCACTGATGAACTCTTTTAAAGAATCTGCGTTAAATGACTAACAGGCACTATTGAATTAATGAAGTTATATTATGTGTGGTGGAAAATAATCACCTTGAGCTCACATATGGCCTGTTAGGCTCCCGGTCCTTGTTAGATTGGGAGATGGAATGAACAAAAACTTGATGCAGAAGCAGATGCTGGGCAGGACCTCAGTGAATCTAGGTCATAAATTCAATGTCATTTTGGGCTCCATAATTATTGAGTTGAAAATTTGGTATGTGTAGATGTGTGTACATGTCCACATGCCTGTGTTAGGTCTGAGTTTAATTTGGCAACCAACATTTCTTGAAATTTTCGAGAAAAATACCAGCATCTTTTTGGCCCACTATTTATTTAGTAAGTTTTAGAGTACAGGTCCATCAGTGTTTCAAACTATTGGGTGGACATTTCAGCGACTCATAAAGTAGCAGATTTCAGTTTTACTTAAATGTAATCTCCAGAGTGACCTGACAATACAAATTCAATCACGCTGATAAAGAAAAATCATCAGAACATATGTCATATAATATGTGTGCATTTTATCAAATAGGATTTTATAGGAAACTGCAGAAGGGTGAGATCCAACTCATTCTCTAGCAGGAAGGAAACAACTTAAAATGGAGTCAACTTGGGTGCCTTTAATAAGGAAAAATGTTATTATCCACTGTGTCTTTGGAATTGAAATTGGAGAACACATACCAATCAACTCTGGAGTAGCTGCTGGCTGCATAGATGCAGTCTTATCTGAGAAATTTGAAACTCAGATCATTTTGATAAAAGGTACATAGGATTGCTGCTGGAAAGACTGCAGCTTCTAAAGAGGTAGAAGCACTTTGTAAATGCCCAGAGTCACCCCCGGGTTCTAATCCAGTCCTGCTTGATGGAGTGTAAACATGAGGATTTTAAATGGAATGATGTACTTTAAATTCTTCATTTTTCAATGCCTTAGTCAACAAGTACTTGTTTTTTGTTTTGTTTTTTTAAACCATCAGAACACTTGGAGACTTGTGAAGTTCACTTAAAGGTTTCAAGATGCTTGAAAATTAAAAAAAAAAAAAAAAAGTGGTATCTGGTTGGGAATGGTTCCTGTGTTCTTCTGCTACAGAACGAGTCTTGTAGGTTGCTGAAAACAACTAGCTGCCTCAGTTTAGATGTGAGAACCCGCATCTTGGCAGTGTCTTGATTCCCCAGGTGCCGCCTTGCTCTCTCACTTCCTGGTCCTCCCTGCCTCATTTGTACCTTGACCTTTATTAGGAAACAGGCCTCTCATGTGGTCTCCAACATCCCATCACTAAAACACTGCCAGACACAGCTCTTTCCTGCTGCTTCTCTACTCTTGCAGGCCTTTCTGGCTCACCTTCCTTGTTCTGTTCCCACTTCATTTCCTCATTTAACATTCCCCTACTACAACCATACCAATAAATGAACGATGAGAGGTATGACTGGACGATCGTGTCAATTTTTATGTGCCTTGTTATTGTAAACAGTTTCTGCCCAAGTTTCAGCTTAACCTATGGTAATCTCACCACACTGGAATAATTCCAAATGAAAGTGAAATGGCTCACCTTCCCCATTTCTTACGGACCAGAAGAACAGATGAAGAAAAGTTGGCAGAGGTCCAGCCTTACCCTGGAGACACAACCCAAAGGCATCTCTCCATCATGATCTAACCCAGGCCCAGTGTGCCCCAGAATGCAGGGGTAAGTTTAGGTATGAAAGGACTCTGGAATAGCTTGTAAAAATACCTAACTGTTAACCAGCACACCGGCGGCTTAGTTTAGTATTCCCAGAACTTGTAATTATGCAAGAAATTTAGTCCAAGCTACTTCCCGGCAGTCTCAATATGGGTGACACTGTTCAGAGTTTATAGTAATGTTCTTGAAATTAAGTCAAAGTTCTCTCCATTGCATTATGCGAGAACTGTATATATGTGTTAAAGGGATCTGTTTGATTCCTTTTGGCAAGGAATTGCAGAAATGGCTTTTGTGTTTTTTTTGCAGAAATGGTTTTTAACAATGTCTGTTATAAAGTGAGACCTTGGGAGTCAGCGAAGACATTGTAGCCTTTTCACTCTGAAATGGCAAAACAGTTGTATTCTCTGGGTCTATCAAAGACTCCTGTTTGAGGATTGTGAATGGAGAGGGTGTGTGTGTGTGTGTGTGTGTCCGTGTGTCCATGTCCTCATGCTTTCTGCCATGGTGTTAAAACCTCCTTATGAAGGCATCCAAAGAATACCAAGTGGTAACAGTAGGCAGTTGGCTTGAGTGAATTCAGCCCCATCTGCCAACAACTCAGAGAACTGGAGTTGTTCTAGATAAGGTGGGCAAAGTCAGCCATTGCCTTAGCCTGTTTCCACAGTAAGCATGCTCTTCTCATCCACAAGGATGCAACTCAGTAGGGTTTGACCTGAATCCCTGGCTCATGTGTGGTGTTGGACTGGCAGTAGTGACCAGAACAGCACAAGGCCTGCAAGATGTTCCTTTGAAAGAGAAAATGCTGTCATTTGTTAGGGCACAGAAACCAAATGATGGCCAAGGACAATGCTCCTTCCATGGAAAAGAGGTGAACTCTGCTGACAAGACATTTTGAGTTGACTGAATGAGGGGGTCAACCCAGCTATAAGGAATACTGCGGTCATCAGACCCCAGGAAACAGTACGTGCACACAATCTTAAGGGCTGTGAACATGGGAAAGGAAGGGAAAAAGACATTTATAAAGTCAATCTTAACAGTTGTTGCGATACCTCTTATTTGCAGACTATTGGATTTATGTTATTGCACTCTTCGTGTGATCTCTTATGTATCGGATAGTTTTTATGAATAATTGTTTTGAGTTGTAAACTCTTATACATTTTATTAAAATGGACCTAATAAAAGTAAGTGATTTATATTTTGTATTATTTCTTAAGTCAGATCTTCCTAGGATTGAAGGGTTCCATGAGTGCCTTTTATAGTACCAAGCCTAGTTTTGTGTTTTTAAGTTTCAAAGAACGTTTGGTTGGTTGGTTGGTTGGTTGGTTGGTTGGTTGGCTGGCTGGCTGGCTGGTTGGTTGGTTTCCAATGCCAACATTGTTACTTCCTGAGACCTACTTTTCCTTCTAGATGTTACATGGAGACATAAATGGAATAATAAAAGACAGCAGGGCCATACAGACTGAGGCGAGGAAACCAAAGAGCTCCCTGCTATTGTAAACTTCACTGTGAGCTCCTAAAATATGTTAATCTGAATATGATCTGCATCAGCATTTAGTCTTTTTTTAAAAGATTTTATTTATTTACTTACTTAATTTGACAGAGTGAAAGAGAGCAAACATAAGCAGACAGAATGTCAGGCAGAGGGAGAGGGAGAAGCAGGCTCCCTGCTGGGTTGAGAGCCCTACATGGGGCTTGATCCCAGAACCCTGAGATCATGACCTGAGCCAAAGTCAGACACTTAACTGAGCCACCCAGGCACCCCCAGAATTCAGTCTTTAAAAACAAACAAACAAAAAATTCCTAAAGAGAGACCAGCATTAACATAACAAATTAAAGAGAGAAGTCTTGGAAATGACAAACAAAAAACCCAGACTCTTTTTTTTTTTTTTTTAAAGATTTTATTTATTTATTTGACAGACAGAGATCACAAGTAGGCAGAGAGGCAGGCAGAGAGAGAGGAGGAAGCAGGCTCCCTGCTGAACAGAGAGCCTGATGCGGGGCTCGATCCCAGGATCCTGGGATCATGACCTGAGCTGAAGGCAGAGGCTTTAACCCACTGAGCCACCCAGGCGCCCCCCCAGACTCTTAACTATAGAGAATTAACTGGTGGTTACCAGAGGGAAGGTAGGTGGCAGGATGGATGAACTAGGTGAAGGAGATTAAGAGTACACTTAACTTGATGAGCACTGAGTAATGGATAGAATTACTGAATCCCTATATTATACACTTGAAACTAATAACATTGTACATTAATGATATTGGAATTAAAATTTAAAAGTACACAAAGTACACATACCAAAAGTCTTGGGGAGAAATGAATTATACCTATGAATCTTAAAATCCATAGTGTGGGAGAGAACCTGCCTGCTTATTTCCTCTCCAAATTCGAGAAACTAACAGTAATATTTGGGCTTTAATGAGTTTTAACCTCCATCATTCAGGGAGAATTGGTAGAGGGCTGAGTTCAGGTCCAAGTTCAAGCTGGTAATGGTGTTCACCCAGGGATCCAGAGAGTTCTGGTATAATATACATGAGGAAAGCCAAAGTTGCCTCCTTTTACTAAAGATTTATCTAAGATCTGATTAGTGTATCTTTAAATATATGCCCCACCTCATTCTACAGTGTGAAGTTCCTGTGCTTTTTCTGTTTCAAGTTATGGTTAACCAAGAATACAGTCTTCCTTGTCTGTGACTGGGACTGCTCTGGGGGAAGCATCACTCCCAATGAGGTAGACGCAGGAATGCGAGCCTTCTGCAAATGCAGACAGATTCACCTTCAATGACTTAGCTCTGTCCTTCTTGGAGGGAGAGCCAAACTTAGCAGCTCCAGCTCCCACAGGGTGCTATCGTTTGCATTTACCCTTTTGTGGCTCATTTTTGCCAACCCCGAGACTGGTTAATAAGAGACCAGCCAGGGAGGAGGTGTCCTTAGATCACTCCCTAATTTACAACCAAGTGAGAAGAGCCAGAGTGAGACCCACAGAAAAGCCACAAGCAGATGATTTAGAACTTTCCTTCAGATTTGGAGACAAAGATCTTTTTCCGTCCATCTTAAGAATTTTTCCTTGAGTTAACCTCTTCTTAAATTGGGGTAGTAATATGTAGAGGGCTTCAGTTAGCATCTCAATCTATATGGAAGAAGACAAGTAATTCAACCTGCTTTTATGTAAGCTTAGCCCAGAGGCCCAAAAGGAGTGCCAATATTCTCTATAGAAAGTGGTCCACTTCTCTAGCACCAAGGTTTTGGGACCAAGATCATCACTAGATAGGGAATTCGCCAACTCACATATGGAGAAATTAGTATTTCTACCAGATCTCCCCAGGAACATCCTGGTTTTGAGCAGGACCTTTAACCTCAAGGACAGACTCTGTTTTTACTCTTCAGAGAAACCTTAAGTTATCAGGGAAATTGATGACAGTTTTCTCACAGAGGAACAAAAAAATATAAACTGTCTATCTTTATTTAGTTTATAATCAATATTACTGGTAGAAATACTCAGTCCAAGTTAAATTCAAATCTGTTAAAAGCACACATCATTAAAAATTGGTGGAAGAATGAAATTTTGACAAAGTTTAAATCGAAATTTTTGACCAGGAAATTTGAATTTTATAGGTATAGTAGCCACAAGAGAACTTAGTAGCAGAAGATACATTGGTAAAATTTGAAATGAACCAAAAATTGACTCAGTCTCCATTATAAAACATATAGAAGAAACTGGATCCCAATGAAAATAATTACAACAAAATGGAAATATATTGCAGAGGAAATTGATCAAAAATTAAATTGGCTTAATGGAGTTGCTGAATGGAGTTTCTCAACGAAAGTTCATCAATATTAGCCCAGCTAAAATATGTGATCAAAAACATGGAGTGAAACAGCCACAGTAGTTCAAAATGTCTTTCTTGTGCCCACCCGTGGGCGGTCGAAGTGAAGTTGTCCAGATGGCCATTAGCAGCATGAATCAGGAGAGAAGTCTTGACTGCTGGTAGAGAGAAGTCATCAGTGAGTCCCAGACATAGATGAGATCAGAGGAAGAGAATGTAGACTAAGAAGAGCACTTACAAAATCTTCTGGGAATGACAACATTTAAAGGATAGGTAGGGGGTAAAAAGCCATGGAGGAAACTGAACCACAAAGGTAGACAGAAAAACAGAAGGGTGATACCAAAGCTAAGAGAGGAAAAATTTTCAAGAATAAGCAGTGGTCAGTAGTTTTCTTTTTCTTTTATTTTTAAAGATTTTATTTATTTATTTGACAGAGAGAGACACAGCAGGAGAGGGAACACAAGCAGGGGGACCAGGAGAGGGAGAAGCAGGCTTCCCGCTGAGCAGGGAGCCTGATGCGGGGCTCTATCCCAGGACCCTGAGATCATGACCTGAGCTGCAGGCAGACGCTTCACCACTGAGCCACCCAGGCGCCCCTGGTCAATAGTTTTAAATGCCAAAGGGAAATCAAAAGAGAGAAAAAAACGTTATTTGGATTTGTCAGTTGGAGGCCATTGGTGACCTCAGCAAGAGAAATTTCTGTAAAGTCGTGGGGCAGATTGCAGTGATTTGAGGAATGAGTGGGGTGTAAAGAAGGCAGGCTATATTTTGAAGAACAAGGTGGTTCCAATTTATACAAGGACCTTAAATAATCCACAACTTAAGGGCATACCACAGATGCATGTTCCTTCCCAGAACACCAGCGAGGCCCCCCGTTTCCCCCCCACACACTATGTTGGTTTACTTAAAAGATTTATCTTTCTTTTTTTTTTTTTTTTTTTTTTAAAGATTTTATTTATTTATTTGACAGAGAGATCACAAGCAGGCAGAGAGGCAGGCAGAGAGAGAGGAGGAAGCAGGCTCCCCGAGAGAGCAGAGAGCCTGATGCGGGGCTCAATCCCAGGACTCTGAGATCATGACCTGAGCCGAAGGCAGCGGCTTAACCCACTGAGCCACCCAGGCGCCCAAAAAGATTTATCTTTCTTAACCCAACAGCCTTTTCCATACCTTATTACATGAAACTTGCATTCCAATATTATTGTTTTGAATGTGTTGTTTTCCTCCAGTTCTCATACTAGTAACATCATTGAACAAATGTTTAGATGACATTTGTAGCCTAGGAAAAGAGAATTACATTATTCTATCAGTGAATTCAAAACAAAACAAAACAAAAAAAACAACCAGTAGTCACTGTGATGGCTGAGTAGTGCCTCTGACATTATCCATGATAAAATGCCCAGAACCTGTGGAGGACACCTAATCTAGCAAAAGGGATTTAGCACATGTAATAAAATTAAGGATCTTGAAATGGGAAGACTATTCAGGATTTTCCATTTGGGCCCAACATTATCACAGCTTCCTATTGGGAGAGATGCAGGAGTCGTCAGAGAAGGCAGCAATGTGGTGACAGACACAAAGGCTGGGGTGTCACTTTGAAGATGGAGAAAACCGAAGAATACAGGGAGCCACTAGAAGGTGAAAAAGACAAGGAAATAGATCTCCCCCCTCAGAGCCTCTAGAAGGAACCCGTCCTGCTGACAACTTGACTTTAGTCCAGTGAAAATGAACTCCAGACTTCCTGCACCTGTACCAGACTGTATCAGACCTCCCGACCGAAAGAGAGTAAGTTTGCTGTGTTAAGCCACCATGTTTGTGAGAATTCGTCACAGCAGCAATAGGAAACCAGTCACGAAAGTCACTCTCCAAATTTCTGACACAAGTTAATAACAGTGGTGTTCTTACTGACAAAGGGGAATGGGTGTCTTGTGTGGAGGAGTGGAGGTGAAGAAGATGGGTTCCAACTGCTGAGGCTTATGTCCCTTGTCTGTCACTTCCTACTTGTGTCAACTTGAATAAATCACTGGGCTTCTGCATCTGTTTCTTCACCTGTAAAACAGGGAGGACAGCAAATGCCCACATCGTAGACTGTCAGGAGTTGGACTCAGGAGAGCCGCCCACTTTGGGTGCTCTGTCAGTGTCGGTGATGTCTGTTCGGCCACTCCTGTGGTGATGGCACAGTTTCCTCAGACTGCTAGCTCTGAAATTGTGCTGTACCTGACCAGTTTTCATATTTGCATGTATTTCATAATTTGCGTAAGAGTTGACACTTTATTAATCTCTTTTGTTACATTTTCAAATTCATATAAAATGTGACCATGCCAGGAGCTTAAATGGAAATGAAAAGAGAACTAGGGAGCTTACTAGT